TGACAAGTATAGTATACATATTGTGCCCATTCATTTTGAAACAAGAAAAAGCATTGCTTCTGTAGGGCGAGGCAAAAAAGATCAACCCAAACTTGAGACCTAATAGTTTCAGCCAAGATCAAGAGGAAATCCTCTGACTCACTTTTTGTACATTTCTCAAAGTGTCAATCTGTGCTTTCTTTCATTGGTTCTTTTCCCCAAACTCTCCTTTTTCCTTCCTTCAGAGACCTAGATGCCTGCCACTAATTAGATACATTAATATGGATACAAAGACAATATGCTAGTTAACATAGAATATATGTTACTTAGTTATTGAATTATTTGGTGAATAATGTTCTGTTTTTCAGGCTTTTTTTTTTTTTTTTGAGACGGAGTTTCACTCATGTTACCCAGGCTGGAGTGCAATGGCACGATCTCGGCTCACCGCAACCTCCGCCTCCTGGGTTCAGGCAATTCTCCTGCCTCAGCCTCCTGAGTAGCTGGGATTACAGGCACGCGCCACCATGCCCAGCTAATTTTTTGTAGTTTTAGTAGAGACGGGGTTTCACCATGTTGACCAGGATGGTCTTGATCTCTTGACCTTGTGATCCACCCGCCTCGGCCTCCCAAAGTGCTGGGATTACAGGCTTGAGCCACCGCGCCCGGCCTTTTTCAGGCTTATTATAATAATTTACTAGTCTAAAAGAACCTAGAAAGTAAGACTTTCAAACCTTCCATATTTGTGTTTATAATTAGCCAAGTAAGGGCAATTACATTATTTTTAGAAATAATGATTTTATGAGTTAAAAGGACACATACCAAATTAAAGAGAGGTTGCCTCTTACAGGAAGAGAAGGGATAGAAAATGGGGCAGGAGGGAAGAGGATAAAGGCTACTTTGAAGGCTTTAATCTATTGATGCTGTGTTACTTTTATATAAAATATTTATATTTGAAAATTTCTCAAAATAAAAATGTAATTAAAAAAACTGTAGACACTCAAATATGATCTTCATGACAGCCAACCAATTTCCTCTGTATATTCTCTACAAAAAATTGCAATGTGAGGAGTTTCCAGTGGTGACATACCAGTAACTTTCTTTCTTGCATCTTTAAAAGTCCCAATTATTGGCTGGGTGAGGTGGCTCATGCCTGTAATCCCAGCATTTTGGGAGGCCGAGGTGGGTGGATGATGAGGTCAGGAGTTCCAGACCAGCCTGGCCAAGATGGTGAAACTCTGTATCTACTAAATATACCAAAAACTAGCTGAGTATAGTGGTGGGCGCCTGTAATCCCCGCTACTCGGTACTGGGGAAGTTGAGGCAGAGAACTGCTTAAACCTGGGAGGTGGAGGTTGCAATGAGCTGATATTGGGCCACTACACTACAGCCTGGGTGGTAAGAGGCTCAAAAAAAAAGAGAGACCCAATTTTCCAATAAGTCATGGAGAAAATGACCAATCTTTCTGAGGTAGTCCAAACCAGGTTATAATTTTTCAAAAGATCCCATAAGTACGTATTTTTTTTTTTTTTTTTTTTTTTTTTTTTTTTTTTTGAGACGGAGTTTTGCTCTCGTTACCCAGGCTGGAGTGCAATGGCGCGATCTTGGCTCACCGCAGCCTCCGCCTCCTGGGTTCAGGCAATTCTCCTGCCTCAGCCTCCTGAGTAGCTGGGATTACAGGCACGCGCCGCCATGCCCAGCTCATTTTTTGTATTTTTAGTAGAGGCGGGGTTTCACCATGTTGACCAGGATGGTCTCGATATCTTGACCTCGTGATCCACCCGCCTCGGCCTCCCAAAGTGCTGGGATTACAGGCGTGAGCCACCGCGCCCGGCCCTCATAAGTACGTATTACTATTGTAACTGATATATCTTTGAAGTCCAGAATCCACTTCTACCTGTGTAACAAGACCTTCACAAAGATACCTTACAGTATAAACATAATTCATCTTATATTCTCAGACATGAAATATTTTCATCTGCAAAGACTTCTGTAACTATTAGACTCTTCAAATCTCTCAAAGCTACATGAATATATTCTTCTATAAAATTATAAAACATTAATCATTTTTATTTGTTCTTCAGTAGTGAGAAATGAGAGGATATATAAATGGACAATGACCAGACCGTATATGAAGACAGAACTCTGACCTACAATCTCTTCAGCAACCAGCCTGGAAATCCAAATTATAATCTTGGCAGCAATCACCCCAGGACAGCGAGGATTTCATTAATGACTATCAGCTTCTCTATTTTTGTGCCCCAATCCCTACATCCTTTCAACTCAGGGCCAACCAGAGAAAGCCAACTATGTTCCTGAATTAATTCCCAAGATACTCTGCTTTTAGATAGTTGGCCTTCAACTTCCCCATGCCAACAACCTCCAATCAGAGCACACCTTAATGTCTTTTTTTTTTTTGCTATAAAACTTGCCTAACTCCTTTTTGAGTCTGCCCAATGAAAGTGACGTTGGCTGACTTCCTTGTTACAGCAAGATTTGAATAAATGAATTATGCTGGTTCTCATTTGGGTGGCCTTGTTTATTTTCACAGTAGTGTGAAAATCATGCAAAAAGAAAAGTAACACTAGGCTGGTCATGGTGGTTCACACCTGTAATTCTAGCACTTTGGGAGGCTAAGGCAGGCAGATTGCTTGAGCTCAGAGTTCAAGACCAGCCTGGGCAACTTGGCAAAACCCCGTATCTACAAAAAATACAAAAATTAGCCAGCATGGTGGTAGGGACCTGTAGTCCCAGCTACTTGTGGGGGCTGAGGGAGGAGGAGTCACTTGAGCCTGGAAGATCAAGACTGCAGTGAGCTAAGACTGTGCCACTGCACTCCAGCCTGGGTGACAAGTGAGACCTTCACACACACAGACACACACACAGACACACACACACACAAATTAATACTATAGTGTTAATACTATAGTGTTTTGAGCATTTTCTTCTGCTCTAACCAAGATGATGTTTCAGTCTTGCTACCTCTACAACAGTCTTGTAGCTCTTGTTCTGTTTGCCAGCTAGCCCACCTGAACCAACTTGCTTCATTAGATACATGGTTTTCCACTGCTTTGAAAATAAATTTTGTATTCTTCAGTGTTTGATATTTTAGACTCAAATTGGTGTAGTTTCTTCCTTGGGAACTGTGATCATTTTAAAACAAAGAAAAGATTCTGCTTTATTTTAGAAAAGCATTAATGCTGATGGCATAATATAGAACTAAATCGTGCAATAAAATATTTGCTATCCATCTGTGGATATATATGCAGCAAACATCAGAGGGTAATCCCTAAGTTTCGTTGATATTAAAGAGAGAAATCATATCAACTTACAGAGTTACTAAAATTTATCTATACTACATTGAAGTTGTTTTTGAATAAAATGTGAGCTTAGGCCTATGATGGTGTGAAATTAAACAATTCAAATTTAGAGCTGTCAGAATTTTAGATTATTTTGAGCCCTGAGAGGAATGTGGTTATGTGACCTGACTCAGTAGCATGCAGCTGCAACGTCTGCTTTTCCCTGTAAATGACTAGGAAAAGCCTTGCAGCTCCACAGATCTCTTTAGATTATCACCCCTGCTCACCTAATGTTAAAGCAAGCTTCCTTGAAATGTTAACAAGCTGTAAGCAATCACTATAATACATGCAATGACCTTGTATGGAAAAATGTCACAACCCTGTTAATTGCCTATGTAAGTGAAACCTTAACTTCCCCACTTTGGAACACTTGCCCCCATGTGTTTGGAGTCTGTTTTTCCTAGGTGGCGGTCATTTTTTATTTGTTTTTAGTAGCAAGAGATTGAAGGATATACAAATGAACAATGACCAGACTATACATGAAGACAGAACTCATTCAGCAACCAGCCCACAAAAACAGACAGTGATCCGACCACACTGTGTTTAAATAAACCCTATACTTTATCATCTTTTCTGAATCTCATTATTTAAGGTTGACATTTTGATGACCACAAAGGGACTCAAAGCAGACCTCCAATGATATCTGTCACTTTGCTGACAATTGGAATGCTGGTACCAACATAAATGATTTTCATTCACCCAACCTTGCCAGAGTCCATGGAAATCTCTAGTAAGGTATCTCTCAGGGTCTGAACCTCCCAGCTTGGTAGAGAGTCAAACATTATTATTATTATTATTATTTTTGTTTTTCTTTCTTTTTTTTTTGTGAGACAGTCTCGCTCTGTCGCCAGGCTGGAGTGCAGTGGCTCAATCTCGGCTCACTGCAATCTCTGCCTCCTGGGTTCAAGCGATTCTCCTGGCTTAGCCTCCCAAGTAGCTAGAATTATAGGTGCACATCACACTCTAGAATTTTTTTATTTTTATTTTTAGTAGAGACAGAGTTTCACCATTTTGGCCAGTATGGTCTCGATCTCCTGACCTTGTGATCCACCTGCACTGGCCTCCCAAAGTGCTGGGATTACAGGTGTGAACCACCACGCCCGGCCTACTTTTCTTTTACTTTTTTTTTTTTTTGTGTGTGACCATACGGCCTGGTTCTTTTACTTATTTTTTGAGACAGAGTCTCACTTTGTTGTCCAGGCTGGAGTGCAGTGGTGACGATCGTGGCTCACTGAAGCCTCAACTTCCCAGGTCCAAATGATTCACTCACCTCAGTCTCCTGAATAGGTGGAACTACAGGTGTGCACCTTGATACTTGGCTAATTTTTTGTAGAGACAGAGTTTTGCCATATTGTCCAGTCTGTTCTTAAACTCCTAGGCTCAAGCAATCCAACTGTCTCAGCCTCCCAAAGTGCTGAGATTACAAGTTTCTTCTTCAGTAACTAAAATTACAAAAGGCTCTTTATGAGGACAAAATAAGTCCCAAAGATGAAAGACACTGTTCTTGCCAACTGAAAGGCACCTTAGGCTACTGAGGTCTGTGTGGGAGTGCTGGAGCTTATTGCTGATGACATGAAACAGTGTTACAGGAAATCCCTTAAGAAAAGCATACAGAACCAGGCACAGTGGCTCATGCCTATAGTCCCAGCACTTTGGGAGGCCAAGGTGGAAGGATCACTTGAGCCCAGAAGTTTAAGACTAACCTGGGCAACATAGTGATAAATAAGATAAAGAAGAAATTAGCCAGGTGTGGTGCTATGCACCTGTAGTTCCAGCTACTTGGGAGGCTGAAACAAGGGAGGATCACTTGAGACCAGGAATTCGAGGCTACAGTGAGCTATGATCATATCGCTACACTCTAGCCTAGGTGACACAGCAAGACCCTATCTAAAAACAAACAAACAAATAAAGCCTATACAGGGAACCTTGCTTAATTAAATGAGCACACATAACCTTGCTTAATTAAATGATCACCTACTGCCTTAAGCACCCAAGTCTCTTGGGATCACCAAGACACATAAAAGGGAAGAACCAACTTAAGGGTGAAACCTTGAGAAGCTAGTCCCACAGGTAGCACCAGGCAAGCACACTTGATCCCAAATATTTCCCACTAAGTTGTTTGGTCATTAAGAAGAAAATCTAAAGTCTAGGTGATCATGCATCTAAAACCAAGTATTCCTCCTGAAAAAGAGATCCACCACTGGAAATGTAAGCTGGATTCATGTTTAATACTTATGGCACATCTTCACGTAAATATTTAGAAAACTGGTCATGCAGGCTAGGTGTGGTGGCTTACGCCTGTAATCCCAGCACTTTGGGAGGCCGAGGCGGCCAGATCACCAGATCAGGAGTTCAGGACCAGCCTGACCAACATAATGAAACACTGTCTCTACTAAAAACACAAAAATTAGCCATGCTTGGTGGTGTGTGCCTGTAATCCCAGCTATGTGGGAGGCTGAGACAGGAGAACTGTTTGAACTGTGAGGTGGAAGTCGCAATGAGCCAAGATTGTGCCACTGCACGCTAGCCTGGGCGACAGAGCAAGACTCCGTCTCAAAAAAAAGAAAGAAAGAAAATTGGTCATGCGTAATTTGCAATGACCCCAAATTACAGTGGCCGAAATGGGGGTACCTTTGAAATACCTAAACCAGTTTCTCTGTATACTCAATTTTTTAAAATCCAGCTCTCATTATCCTAAGTGAACTAACACAGAAACAGAAAACCAAATATTGCATGTTCTCACTTATAAGGGGGACCTAAGCATCAGGTACATATGGACCTAAAAAAGAGGAAAACTAACACTGGAAACTACTTAGGCATAGGCAAGGTCTAAAAAACTACATATTGGGTACTATGCTCACTATCTGGGTAATGGGATCATTTGCACCCCCTAACCTCAGCATCATACAATATACACATATAACAAACCTACACAGGTACCCCCTGAATCCAAAATAAAAGCTGGCTCTAAAATAAAACAAAATAACTGGGAGAGCTATTTTCTTTTTTTCTTTTTTTTTTGATTTTGAGACGGAGTTTCGCTCTTGTTACCCAGGCTGGAGTGCAATGGCGCAATCTCGGCTCACCGCAACCTCCGCCTCCCGGGTTCAGGCAATTCTCCTGCCTCAGCCTCCTGAGTAGCTGGGATTACAGGCGCGGGCCACCATGCCCAGCTAATTTTTTGTATTTTTTTTTTAGTAGAGACGGGGTTTCACCACGTTGACCAGGATGGTCTCGATCTCTTGACCTCGTGATCCACCTGCCTCGGCCTCCCAAAGTGCTGGGATTACAGGCTTGAGCCACCGCGCCTGGCGGGAGAGCTATTTTCCATGATACTTAGAAGCTTTCTGATAAAGTCATTTCTTTGCAAGAGGAAATGAGAAAATCGTCTAAAATAATTTTGAATTGAAAAACATAGCTGACAGTTCTTCTCCTTTAGCTCCTTCCTCTCTTTGTCCCTCCTTGTCAGAACTTCCTTGTTTATCAGATTACCTTCCCTTCCTCCTCCTCCTCCTCCTCTTCCTGCTGTTATGGCTCCATTTAAGGAACCCTATGTCTAGTAAAGGAGAACCTGCTTTGATTTCTCAACCATGCTCAAAGGTAGAACTTAAAGGTATAATTAAAGAATTTCCTACTGGGTGCAGTGGCTTGTGCCTATAGTCCCAGCTATTCAGGAGGCTGAGGCTGGAGGATCTCTTGAGTCCAGGAGTTCTGGGCTGTAGTGTGCTATGCCGATCGGGTGTCCGCACTAAGATCGGCATCAATATGGTGACCTCCCAGGAGTGGGGGACCACCAGGTTGCCTAAGGAGGGGTGAACTGCCCCAGGTCGGAAACAGAGCAGGTCAAAACTCCTGTGCTGATCAGTAGTGGGATCATGCCTGTGAATAGCCACTGCACTCCAGCCCAGGCAACATAGCGAGACCCCATCTCTTTTATTTTATTTTTTATTTTTATTTATTTATTTTTTTTTTTTGAGACGGAGTTTCGCTCTTGTTACCCAGGCTGGAGTGCAATGGCGCGATCTCGGCTCACCGCAACCTCCGCCTCCCGGGTTCAGGCAATTCTCCTGCCCCAGCCTCCTGAGTAGCTGGGATTACAGGCACACGCCACCATGCCCAGCTAATTTTTTGTATTTTTAGTAGAGACGGGGTTTCACCATGTTGA